GAGAGCTGATACTGAGAAGAATTTAAGCATAATTCTTAGGCTCGTGTGCTTTTCCTGGCCAGCCACCTATTCTGAGTAGTATGAATAGCAAAGCTATTATTTGCTTTTAGATTGATGGAGTTTTATTCATTATGTGTGCCTACCACCCCTTCTGTATGTTCCAGCAATTTTGTTTTCCCCAGAAACTAGATTCCTTGAGGTTATGAGAATTCCAGACTTGAAGATATCTGCCTCATATTGTTTTCCAGTCAAGAGACCAGAAATGTTATTGTTGTTGTTGTTGTTGTTTATATTTATGGAATGGAGCAATGGGGCAATCTCTGAAGTCTACAGGTATTTATCAAGTGTTCCGTTGCCAAATACTACAGTTCTTTTGACAGTCAGTGTGCTGTCAGTACCAAATCTGTACCACAGAGTGATTTTCTTTCCTTGGAGAACACAACCAAGAGAGCATCAAGATGTAGATTGCTCTGTTTTCCGCTAATGAATACTCCTCTGAGTCCCTGGCCTGATAACATGAAGTGCTGTGCCTTTGCCGAATGAAAATGGCCTTTTCTTCACCTGAAGTATGGGACTCCTTTATCAAACTGAAGATTTTAATTTATAAGACAGTTGCTGCCCTAAGAAAACCATCCTTCTTGTGATCAATTCTGCCTGGAATTAGCAATTTTCATTAGCCTCACAGATTTATTTTCTCTAAGGGTTGACATCTAGAAAAACAAGAGGCAAGAATAATGCACTATAACACTGGTATATTATAATTTACCTATACAGTCATGCAAACTACAAATCACTTTTTAAAAGCTTCAGAAAAGTTACTTACATTGGTTTAAATATTTACCTCTGATCCTGTGAGAGAGAAGACTTAGGTCTTGTCCTCAGTCAGGTTCTGCGTTTGTGTGTTAAGCAATGAATAAATTTAGAAATATATTACTGCTTGCACCTCCCTTTCCTTCTCCCATACGTCCAGGCTGTTGCCGCCTACTCAGAGCTCCTTTCTACCACACCCCCAAAAGATCTTATGTAATTTTGTCCTCTTTGCTGACCTTATCACTTTTCAGTTTTAGCCATTTCAAAATGGCACAATGGATTTAAAATCTCAGCTCTATTGTTACACCACAATAGTCTACTGACAGGACAGCAGAACAGTTTACCCATTCCAATGGTCTTCTGGTGTTGTGGAGACAACTGGTCTGTTGTTTAAAATAAATGACTGGTAAAAAGGTTACACAACTAGAATGCTTGGGTTTGGTTTCTGGATATAAGCAGATATTGTAGGCCTGATTCTTCTCTCCAGCTTTGTGCAGCTGTGACTCCTGGGTTTCAAATGTGGTACATTAACGTAAAACGTCAAGCTTAGTGATTGAATTAGACACTGGGTGTCCAGCTTCAGACTGAAGATCATTAAGAGCATAGAGAGAAGCAAAGCCATGAAGGACTATTCAGGGTAAGGAGTGGATACCCCACTGGTTGTGTTGGTGTAGAAATCTCATTGCAGCCACAGCTGGGAATCATTTGAGAGAAACACTGCAAAACACAGAGTTAGTGCACAGTACTTGCATGTACTGAAGGAGGGCAAGGACTGAAACAACCCCACTTGGAGGGCTCAAGTAAGGATGGAGTGAAAAAATACAATGGGGGCAAACATGGCACAGTAGTTGTCACTCTGCAGTCCCAGAAGGCAGCCGAGCTGCTGTTGGGTGGTGGAAGAAGGAGAAGGTGGTGGCAACAACTGTAAGACCCTGGGGGACAGGGGAAGGGGAGTGGAGGAAGGGAAGGAAACTGTACTGTGTGCTAAGCATTTTGCTGCAAGGCTGATTACAGGAACAGAGTGGGTCGAGTCTTCTAAAAAGTGGCAGAAATCAATGTTGTGCAAGGCAATGAAGAAATGCCAGAAATTAAACAAGTATTGGGTTCAGTACGATAAGTAAATCCTCAACAAATCAGGGTAGGAGAAAGGTCAGCTGAATGGTTAGGTGGTGGGAAAGCCTAAGCCAGGAGACTCCAAGTCCCAAAGAAGTACGCTGAGAGCTAGCTCCCTTTGCTAGTCAAGATGCAAGGATGCCAGGCAGGATGAGAAAGGGAGGTGGCAAGGCAGAATGGCTGTTGATGAGAGAAAATCACACATGTTAATTGAAAGGGACATCCAGAGGTCAACCTCCTGCTTGGAACAGGGCCGTCAGTAGACAAGGTCAGCCGCAGCCCTTCTGAGGATAGAGATTCCCCAACCTTTCTGGGCAACATTCTCCAGCGCTGTGCTGCTTGCCCTGGGAAAAGGTTGTTTCCTAATGTGCAACTCACCCTTCAAGCGTTGTGGCCATTGCCACTTGGTAATGATCTGGTACTGCCAAGAGGACATTCACTCTGTCACCTCTGCAAGCATGCTTAAAATAGTTGAAGGAGAGAGAAAAGATGACTCACATTTCCATTGATTTTAAAGGCCTGTGAGTGAATTTGGGTGCATGTTGTCATGGTTTTGTTCCTCCTTGGCCTCCCAGGTGTGGCTTCCCTGTCTTTATTCCTGAGGCAGATCAGGAATCGCTTAAGAGGCTTGGCCACGGGACGTGAAGCCCTTGCATTAGGTGAAGCAGGGCATGGCCGAATTGCACCTGAACACAGAGGGATCCTGTGTCGTGTTTCACAGCGGAGACAGACAGAAGGCAGTGCTGTTGAGGTCATATGGGGATAGAATAAAGCACTTGTGTATTGGGTTTGTGTGCCAGGGTTTTGATAGTGGGGGGGCTTACAGAAGTGGCTTCTGTGAGAAGCTGCTGGAAGCTTCCCCTGTGTCTGACAGAGCCAATACCAGCCGGCTCTAAGAAGGACCCACCACTGGCCAAGGCCAAGCCCATCAGTGATAGTGGTAGCACCACTGTGATAACATATTTAAGAAGGAAAAAAAGTTGCAGGACACACAGAAATGGCAGCTGGAGAGAGGAGTGAGAACATGTGAGAGAAACAGCCCTGCAGACCCCCAGGTCAGTGCAGAAGGAGGGGAGGAGGTGCTCCAGGTGCTGGAGCAAAGATTTCCCTGCAGCCCGTGGGGAAGACCATGGTGAGGCAGGCTGTCCCCCTGCAGCCCAGGGAGGTCCACGGAGGAGCAGATCTCCACCTGCAACCCGGGGAGGACCCTACGCCGGAGCAGGGGGATGCCCGAAGGAGGCTGTGACCCCGTGGGAAGCCCGTGCTGGAGCAGGCTCCTGGCTGGACCTGTGGCCCCGTGGAGAGAGGAGCCCACGCTGGAGCAGGTTTTCTGGCAGGACTTGTGACCCCGTGGGGGACCCACGCTGGAGCAGGCTGTGCCTGAAGGACTACAGCCCAGGGGAGGGACCCACACTGGAGCAGTTCGTGAAGAACTGCAGCCCGTGGGAAGGACCCACATTGGAGAAGATTGTGGAGAACTGTCTCCTGTGGGAGGGACCCCACACTGGAGCAGGGGAAGAGTGGGTTGACTCGTGCCCCCAAAGACGATGAAGCGGCAGAGACAACATGTGATGAACTGACCGTAACCCCCATTCCCCATCCCCCTGCGCCACTAGGGGGGTAGGTAGAGAATCCGGGAGTGAAGTTGTGCCCGGGAAGAAGGGAGGGGTGGAGGGAAGGTGTTTTGAGATTTGGTTTTATTTCTCATTACCCTACTCTGGTTGATTTGTAATAAATTGAGTTAATTTCCCCCAAGTTAAGCCTGTTTTGCCCGTGACGGTACTTGGTGAGTAATCTCTCCTGTCCTTATCTCGACCCATGAGCCCTTTGTTGTATTTTCTCTCCCCTGTCCAGTTGAGGGGGGAGAGTGATAGAACGGCTTTAGTGGGCACCTGGCATCCAGCCAGAGTCAACCCACCACAACTTACTTCACAACACTTTTCCTATGCTCCTTCCCATTTGGGAAGCAGAGCCAGAAGGGACCCTGGAAGCAGCTGGCCACATGGAAGAAAACAGAAAGGACTCAGTGACAGTCATCAGTCTTCTCTCTGTCAGGAAAAGGGAGTCCTGCCATTCCAAGAAAAGATGTTTCTAGTAAGATGCTTTTTGTGTGTGCAAGTCCTGTAAAAGACCCGGTCCTTTGCTCTCTGTTGTGAATTCAGAGAGTTAGGAGCATCCCCTGCAAACATGCATGACTGATTAGGACATTCTCCTCCATAGGAGAAAAGAGCTGTGACAGGAATAAATGTGTACTGGGAGATTTGCATGTAATCATAACTTAGGGAGTTAGTATTACAGGCTTGATTCTCCAATTTGATCTTGTCTCAAACCAGTGAAATAAGTGGCAAAGCAAAATGAGGGTAAAGTAGTGCACTGCTGGGCTGGCAACAGTGCTGAATGCATGAAAGGTTACAAAAGAGACAGTTTCAAGGCACATGTGTTTTATTTTCCTCCAATTCTATAGTGTTGTTCAATATTTTCCAATTGCTGTGGGACAGAAATTAGGAAGTATGTGTTAGCCCCTCTGCGTGCAAGAAAGAAGCACCAGTATTGGGAACACAGAGGATTTTGCACGTTTATTTCATTACCAGCTGTGCCAGGCTGCAAAGTTGGCATAAAACTGACAAGCATGTGGGTGAGGTAGCTCTCCTGGGATGACCAGCTTAGTGACCTGAAACCAATGGAGATTCAGCAGCATTCTGCGGGAAGGAGTTTTTCCTGTTTCTTTTCTTCTTATGTACCAAAGCAAGTACCAAACCTACTGTTTTAGATCAACTTAGTCTGTTCTGCATCGTGGCAGTTCTGGTTCAGAAAGCACTGAAAAGATGCATCAATGTTGTACTGTGCACAGTCTGGTGCTTATAGTGTAGTGCTGCCATTTTGGGGTTCTTTGACCAGGAAAATGACCAGAGGTGTGAATTTGAGGTTATTTTTAATATGTCCTCTCTTCTACCATTGAGAGATTTATCAACAGTACAGGAAAATTAAGAAGTGCACAGACTATTGAGATGCTCTTCGTGGTGCATATTTTGTTCATTATTGTTGTTGCAAGAGCCTGTTTAGCAATGGTTGAGTTTCTAGGGGGAAGAGAACCTTCCCAAGAAGAGGATACTCTTGGTCTTGTTGTGCCTGATAAAGAAGAGGAAAGGGTGATCTGCCACAAAAATAACAGTAGCACCAAGACTTCGTGATGTCAGTGCTGCTGAACTGGCAGCTGCTGCCTCTGTGCCTTCTTCATTGACTTCCAGATAACATTTGTGAAAAACTTGTGACAAAAACAGATCACCATTCTCTGACATTCCTGTGAAATCGGCTTGACCTTTAGTGAAGGCATCTTGTATCCCCATCGTGCTCAAAGTAGATCTGAGGTCGTATTTCTCTTCTAAAGTGAACCTGGGCAGATAAACCTCCATTTTCATTTTCTCCATTAGTTCTGGGCTGGTCCATGCAGACAGGTTTTCAAAAGTCAATTCTCTTTCTAGCTGCAGTTAGTAAAAAGAGAATCAGAAAATTACAGAGCATTCAAAAACCTGTGCCCTAAGGGCTATTCTCTTTTCTTAAATGAAGAACTTTTCAAACTGTTGTAAGAACACAAGAAAAACAGTAGTGAAAGATCAATTTGGAGATCTTTTTGACTAAAGGAGTGTGTTGCTCTATGGTAGGTCAATGCAGTATTTGAACTGTTCTCAGTAATTGTCAGGGAATATAGCTGGGTTAAATACTTGTAGAACAAAAACATCAGTGTCAAGTAACAATAGTCTGGTTGATTCGCTGTTCATATTTCTGTCCTCCCTACATTTTAGAATTTACTGAAAAGAGCTTTTTTTCTACAGAACACCCACTAACGTAAATGAGAATTTAATAAAAGTTTATTATCCAAAGGCAGGATCAGTCTTTTTACAGAAGGTGGCAGTATCCATATGTATTAGCTCTGCACATCCTGGAAAGTAATGGAGGCTGCCCAATTTGTGGTTTGGGTTTTTTTGGAATGAAATCGTATCTGTCTGAATCGGTATAGACAGTGGATCTCAACAGGGCAGGCTATCTGTCCTCATTTTTGTTCAGCTGGAAGAAGAGCCAGTCTGGTAGGGTTTGGGTTACCTGTTTCCAGGACTAATTAACATTAGGAACCACAGAAGTGCCAGCTGCCAAAAGTAAGAAATCTATTCGGAGCTCCAAAAGCTTCAAGTTCACAGTGCTAGACCAAGTTGGGGATTTGCTTTAACCTGAGCCTGACCAGTACCCTCCTTCCTAGAAATACGACTGCCGCCTGGTCTTTTACCTTGCACATGCATAAAGTAAGTAAATAATGACACTCTTGTTTTTTCAGATGATTTGTGTTCTCAGTTGCTTTACCTTTTGTAGGCCAGTGATGTCACTTGGTAGCAGGATAAACATGCTGAGATCATTATTGACGTATGGAAGCTCAAGAACATCAGTCTGGACTGATTCTACGTAGGTACAGTTAAGTTTATCACTCAGGTACATCATGGGCACTGGTTTAGTTGTATGCTGCAACAAATCAAATTAAATGTTTGCCATTTGTACTCTGAACAGTAGAGGAATGAGTTAAAGTAGCACAGTGGAAGTTTATTGTATTTACTGAACAAGCTGCCCCATGTGTCTGAGACATCCTTATGGCTTGAAGTGGTATGACACAGGATCTGCAGAGGACCCCTGGTCTTCTGGAAAGGCACTTGGAGGCTAGGCAGGCTATCCAAGGTGTCTCAGATGACACCCATTATAGGAAGCTGTATTCCACTCTGATTTGTCATATGGTTAACAATGAAAATTTAAAGAACTAACCCACACAGTTTTGTTCACCTCCTTGTTTTCTCTGCCTTCAGAGAATGGAAGCTTGTTTCAAGTCAGCTTCTGACAATTTGACTCATGGCTCAGGTGCTAGTATGTGTGTGCAGTCTTTGTGCTGAAGAAAATATACTGTATGCTTTAAATCAGATAATTTTCATGCCGCATGGATTTAAAGATTGACAGGAATTTCTCTCCCCCATCTTTTTCAGTTTTTTCCACCCGCAGTGTAGGATATAAGGCAGGATACTCCCATACCATGTTTATTCTGAAAGGCCTTTGCCTGGTAGCTTCAGCTTCAAACTTTGTTGCCCACTTTCCTTTGAAGTAGAGCGCATTTATCAGGACTAGCCTGGTGAATGAATCTACGGATCCAGGAGGCAGCAGATTTTGGATTTTACCTAGACAAAACAGAAGGACATTTACACATTTGTGCAGTTTTACTGTTTTGGTGTAAGTGTTGGCGCCGTTTCTGTGGATATAAGCCAGGGAAATTGTAAATGCTGATACAGCATGCGTCTATCTTGAGATTATTCACAAATAGGTGGTTACTGGGGTAATCTTGATTTACAAAGAAAAGTAAGCCACATTCCTCCCGTGTTCAGATGGAGGACGCTAATTTTAATAAGGGCTTGTCAGTAGATGACTGCTTTAGGAAAACTGATCTGATTTATCTTTCTGAGGTGAATTGTTTACCTGCCTTGGGCCCCTTGGGTACGGAGACTTTGTTCAATGCCGAAATGGCTTCTTTTTGAATTGGGAGAGGGGAGGCTGGACCTTACCTTCAGTCTGGTGCTCGACCTTGGAATTGATCTCTTTTCTGATTTCATCTGCTGCTCCCACAAAGTCAACTGATTGTGGCTCTGCATTGTAATATTTCTTGGCTAATTTTAAGTATTCCTGCAGTGCAAGAAAGACACCTGTCTTATGTTTGCTGCCTGCTGCCAATATGAATGGTAATAAATAACTACAGCCAAATAGGGAGAAAACATGATAAAAATTACATAGACTACAAGCACAGCATTTTTTCAAAGGAACAAAGTATTTTTTTAGTGGAAATACTCAATTTAAATGTTCTCACCTAACTACATCTGCAAATCACTCTGAAATTACATACACATCCCATAAAACTAAAATTTTAGTGTCCAAAGTCTCAGGAAAAGTCTCATAGAAAACATTTATGTGAAGGATAACAACATGATTTGCAGATGTAGTGAAAATATTTTAAAGTATATGGTTTATGGTATGTTGTCATAGATAGATCATAAAGGTTAAATGGCACTGCATAATCTGAATAAGTTGTCTACCTACCTTACTGAAAGGCAATGATTTTTCTCCATATAACTGGTTGACACTTTTAAGCAGGTAATTTTTAGTGGGTTGGTTGAGTTCAAAGTTGAGTGCTTTAAACCCACTATGGATATTATCCGATTTGCCAATTTCTGTCTTGGAGAAAAGGAAAAAAAGACATTATTCATCTGTTGTGTAAAATAGTTCAAAATTTCTAATTTTTTCCTTCATGCAGCTCCAAGTATTTCTATTCAGGTGATCTGCTACCTGTATTGCAACACAAGAGGTGTTCTAAACTGGACAGTTATTAAAAGAATCAGTTGAAAGTATTAGAAGTTGCAGATGTGGTATAGACACTGTGTCTCAGAATGCAAGCGTTAAGAGCCTGAACTATGTAAAACATTTAAGGATTTGTAAGTGCAGGTTGTGAAACTAAGTATATCCGCCGAATGAGAGAGAGTGTAATTGTTAAACAATGCATGAAGATTTGGCTGTGTGACTCCTTTAATTTATGAAAGTCAAGTGTGTTACATGGAAAGTTTGTCCCTAAATTTCTTAATCTGCTTTTAATGTTAATATTTTGTGATTTATTTGTGTGTGTGTGTGTTCCAGTAATTGCAGTAAATTCTTTATATTGAGGTAACAGGATTAAATGAATGTGGGCTCAAACTCTCAAATGAGCTCAAGGAAGTTAAGCTGTGAATTAGTAAACTAAAAATCTGGACCTGTGCTGTATTCATCTTGTCATTACATCAGAGGCATGAACAGACACTTATATTTCTGAACCATTAGAACGGTCCCTTTGCCCTACCCACAGTGCTCTGTAATTCTCACAGTTTGGACAAGCATTACTCATGAGGAACAATCCCTCTCCTGTTCATGCAGTGCAAATGGGTTGTTGACATAGCCCCTAAAATAAATCTTCCCACTATGGGATTTGGCTGTGGGATGTAGTTCGAAGTTCCCATTCATCAGAACTCATGGCCGCTGCGGCTTTGTGGGCTGACTGCAGGGAAATGGCTCACTCCCACAAAGAATAAGCATGACAGGAATGAGCAGGGAGAAGAGCTTGACACCACCATGGTTGAATAGTCAATGAGGAAAAACAGCCTTTACTGACTCAGAGGGATTACATTTGCTTTTCCGTACTTTTCTGCTATGTTAAATTACCTATACTTTGGTACAGGATGCCTGCCAGTATGTCAAAGAAATATCTCAGGAATATAATGATTCCCATTTCTCTAAGACCTATTGCAACCAGCTGGTCTGCCTTGGGAAATTCCAACATGTCAGTTAGTTTTTTTACCTATTCAACTGAAATGGAGACTAATTTCTGAAACATGTCAAGCATAGGTAGCCTGGAAAAGTTAATGTTCTGGGTTTTGTTTTCTTGATGCTGCATTCAAAGGTGTGGAAGGGCAGCTCTGTTCTTGTGATTAGCTCTCTGAGGTAGGAACCATGCCTGTTCAAAGAACATGTTTGCGCTAAATAGCTAGCTATTGAACAGTAATAAGTTGAGAAAGAAATTTCTTCTCAAAGCTAAAGGAAAAAGACCAAGAGATCTATTGAGAGAACATGGTAACATTAAATTTTAAATTTTGCAAATTTGAGGTTAGTTTTCGCAATTCTGCCTAAAAAGGGGAAGCATGTAATAAGTGTTGCATTAGGTGAAGGTATCACAGGATGCTGTACCAATTAATTGTGTACACCACCTCTGAGGAAAGCAAACATAAGCAAATGCAAATGTGGAAGGAAAATACAAGCAAGAGAAGATGTGACCCTGCCCATAGCTTGATCCCTAGACTTGGTGAGATACCTTCTGGAACCAAGCACATCGATTTGATAGATGTTCTTCTGTTCTGGAGTAGACTTGCATTTTTATGGTTGTGGTGACGTTTCTGGCTCCCTCAGTTTTATTAAAGTGAAGTACCTGTAGTGGAAAAAACAATGATAAATGCAGTGATAGAAAATTTGCTGTTTCAGTAAAATCTTTCAGTGATGTCATGGGACTGGTGACGAAGAGAGTCAAACTCGGATTTTGTGTGTCTATTCCTGACTGAATATGAAATCTTTGGTTAGGTCTTGAGGCCCATCTGTACAAAACAGCTTGTGCACACTAAGCTGAGGGCCGCAGGGCAAAACTCTCACATACCTGGCCTTTCTAGAGGAATCTTCCTGCTTTGAGTTATGCCCTGGGCTGACCAGTTAATACCTAGGAAGAGCCAATTATCTCCAGGTGGAGGCTACCAAAGCAGAAGTCTAAACAGAGCACTGCTCTGTGTCAGAAAGCATGAAAATGGTGCGGGCAGTTCCATGCCTTAAATCACTTGCTCTGGGCATGTGCACCTTACCCAGGCTACAGAGGAGTGCGTCCAGCCTTGGAACATTTTTCAGAAGAGCTACGCCTTTTTTTGTTTTCCCTTCTTCCTAACAGAAGATCACTCCTTTCTTTGTTAGCCTACTGGCCCTCTTTTGTCCTGTGAATGAGGAATTAGGTCACTGCCTTAGTAGGTGGGATGACTTCTGCCTTAGCAGATGCAGACCCAAAAGCCTGACCTCCTGCGACAAGAGCTAGGTAGCTGTGCATTGGGGCTGTTCTCACTGCCGCCTGCTGAAGCTATGAACTTTGCACAAATACAACTTAGGGATTTCAGTAAGTGATTCTGCCTGTAAAATACATACCCCAAAGAGAGGGTTGTAGTCTCACCATGTTTCTTCTCTGATCTTGTGGATGTAGATTTTTGTTTAGCAAAGTGCGAGGCTTATAATAACTGTAGAGGAGAGTGTTTTTTGTGGGGGGTCGTTTCCAAAGAGATGAGACGTGAGATGGGAATTGTCTGTGGCAGAGTAGAAGGAGAATCCAGGTCTCCCACTCCCTGGTGAGTGCTCAACTTACTGAGCTTTGTGATAAAGATCCCTTATTTCTGCTGCTGAGATTTAAAAGGAGACAATGTCACCAGTGCCACTTCTCTTGTTTGTTGGGGGCCTGTTTCCAGACGTTAGGGTAGACTATTTCTCTGACCTGCGCAAGTGGAGAACTGGTCTATTCACTGCAGTGCCCATCAGAGTGAAACAGGAACTGCCATATCTGTGTGTAGAGTTTTGATGAGAGTAATTTTCCTACTTATGGCTTTCCTCTGTTCCATCACAGTAAATCTCCTGCATAGAGGATGATATTTCAAGAGATCAGTCCTTTCAGACAGCTACCTTCTGAAGCCCGGACTCACCTTTTCCATCTGATCTGCAGTGTTACCTCTGGCTCCCAAATAAACAGTAGCCAGGGCAGATGAAATGCTCAAAGGGGAGAACAAAATATTCTTGTCGCCATCTTCCTGACACTCATGTTTGAAAAAGTCAAGAGCAAAGCTTGTGTTGGCTCTATTCAAAGCTTCCATTGTTCTGAACCTGCACAGAAAGGGAGAAAAGATGCTATTAGCGAACTACTAATTATGACTGCTCTGTGTCTGCAAGTTTGTCTTCAGTTTTGAAGTTTCTTTCGTGATTTAAAGGCTTTCTAAAAGTATTTATTTATATGAAGAACAAGGAGGATTAACTATTATAAAATCATAAAAGGTTTAGTGTGTCCTGTTTCACTGATGACACTAGCTATCATTTAGGTTAGGCAAACCTTGCTTTGTATTAGTTCACCAGGACATTTATTTCACTGTCCTTTACAGCATCTTGGAATGACAGTGGATAAGGTTACTCACCAGTGCCTGGGCTAGAGGATACTGAGAGACTGCCTCTTATGACAACTTTTATACTTCAATTTGTGCAAGAGCCTTTTGATGTTCATAACTGTAGTGAACAAATACTCTGGTAACAGTAACAGTCAAACTATTCCTTTAGGACAGGGCAAAATACTCCTTCAATGCTTGGGCAAGCACTGCCCCAACTATTGCATGCTAAGCATCCTGTATTTCCTGTTTGACTTTCAAAAATGTCCTGAAACTTTGTCTTACAGCACTAACCCAGATCCTAGCTTCCCAGTTCTCCTGCAGGACAAGGTGTCCATATTCAGTAGACCACAAGTGCTGCTATTTGTCATTTGCCTTGCAGGTTTAGCTGAAAGCTCTAGGCAGGGACTAAGAGCTATTCTGGTTGGTATAGGATGGCCTTAGAATAAAGACAGTTTGTGTCCTTAGTAGCTTGCAAACCAGGACCTGACCCGATGTTCATAAGAACTAAAGAGCACAAGAACAAATTAGCTGACTTAAGCAAACACAGTGGTTCTTACTCTGCTATGATATATATGCTACCCACGAGCCCTAGAAATTACAGAACTCTGTACAATAAATTGCTCTTCCTGTATATTTTTAAGACTTCTACCTTCTAGACCATGCCTGTGCCATCTTAGTAAATTACTTTTCCAAGCATTCGTTGTTTCCCATTCAGATCCCTGCTTCCTTTTTTCTATGCGTTTGTCAACAAAGCAATATCATCCAAGAGTATATGAAATAAATAATCTCTAGAAATCATTACAGTACCTTGTTCTGTGCAGGGAGGAACACTGCTGCTCTGGGTGTCTCCAAGGTTTCTGCAGCTGACATAAAGGGTAGGGTGAATTTATAGTGTGTCTGGCTAGTTCTGCAGAGGTTCTTATGACTCATGACTGTGCAATTTATTATGCTCTGAAGGCCACATCCCTGTGGAAGAACTGAATCATCTCAGAGTAGGATGTGAAGTGATGGTGAGAATAATACCATACAAGAACCTTAAAAAACTGACTGCAGAAGTATTTCTATAAAAACTTGTGGCAACAGGCTAGTAACAACTTGAACTTGCACTGCTTTAAACAATCTTTCTTTTGCAGTTTGGAGGGTTTAAAAAAAAGGCAGTTGCTGACCTACTTCTTTTATGATTCGTCTAATAGCAATTATTTCTGAGAAACTGAGAGGCAGAGAAAAGACAGTGACTTCTTATGTGTGAGTTCTTCTATTGTCCGCTTCCTACTGAGAAAGTATTTGTCACTCCTGGTGGATTTCTGTTTTAGAAAAATGGATTCTAAGACTGTACAACCAGGGAAATGTTGTCACTGTGAGATAGTTAAGATTGAGGAACAGACACCAGACCCTTGCTGTTATTATCAGTGGCAACATCACTAGAACCTGGTGTGGGTCACAGATTAGACTTCATTTTTCTTCTGCTTCTGTTTCCCCACTCTAATCTGAAGGCTGCCGTTTGATCAATGTAGCACCTCAGAGATCTATTCCTTATTTTCCATTCCAGAAATGGATATCCTGTCAAATCCTCTTTTCCTTCTTGCCTTGGTTACTCAGATACCTCCTTCCCTGATTTTCCTTGCAGTCATGCTGTGCCTCCCTCTTTTGTCCTTTTGTAGCCGTCCATCCCCACTCTGACCCCTGACTGAAACACCCTGTGTAATCCTACCCTTGCCCTTTAATTAATTCTTTACCTCTCTGCACTGTGTCCTGGTTTTGGCTGGGATAGAGTTAATTGTCTTTCTAGTAGCTGGTATAGTGCTATGTCTTGGATTCAGTATGAGAAGCATGTTGATAACACACTGATGTTATCAGTTGTTGCTAAGTAGTGTTTAGTTTAAAGTCATGGATTTTTCAGCTTCTGATGCCCAGCCAGCAAGAAGGCTGGAGGGGCACAAGAGGTTGAGAGGGGGCACAGCCAGTATGGCTGACCCAAACTGGCCAAAGGGGTGTTCCAGACCATGGGATGTCATGTCCAGTATATAAACTGGGGGGAGTTGGCCTAGGGGGATCACTGCTCGGGAACTAACTGGGCATCAGTCAGCAGGTGGTGAGCAATTGCATTGTGCATCACTTGTATATTCCAATCCTATTATTATTATTATTGTCATTTTATTATTGGTATTATTATCATTATTAGTTTCTTCCTTTCTGTTCTATGAAACCATTCTTATCTCAACCCACGAGTTTTACTTTTTCTTTTCCCAATTCTCTTCCCCCATCCCACTGGGGAGGAGTGAGTGAGTGGCTGCGTGGTGCTTAGTTACTGGCTGGGGTTAAACCATGACAACTGTTGATTGTTGAAAACCTGGATAGGAGCTTGTTTCTCCAGGACTGCCTCCTTGACACTGAGCAAGGCTCACTCCCAAGATCTATCTCCTCAGCATAAACTGCCTTCTGAGAGCTTTCTTCTGACCTGCTGTCTATAAACATACATTTAACATGGACTTACGTTGTAGGTCAGTGCCTGGCACAGAGGATCCTGTAATGAGGAATGTGCCATGGGAGTACCTGCAAAATTTGCTGTAGGGCATAGGAGTGTGCAGCTGTAAAGGGTCCCTTGCCAATGGTGAACGTTCTGCATCAATATAATTTGGGAAGCGAAAGCTTTGTTAAAGTTGCTCTCTTCCTTGTGAGGCACCTCTTGACTTCAATCAGATGGTGTTTTCCTGCCCCTTGGGTCTTTTGAAATTGTAGCTACACAAAACCAGCATGTTTCAGTGTGAGTTGTAATTAGATGCATCTGCTACATTTTCCAAAGAGCGCATAGTGTAGGAGAGGTATTTGCTTCAGAATTAATTGCTTCCATTGCGCCTGGGAAAGTTGTAATCTGTTTACATTGGCCTTAGGTGGTTTCCAAAGCCTAAATGATTTGAGTAATCTTTGCAAATTTAGCCATGTTGTTGAATGAGTGATAGATACACGGGATAGACTTCATCCCTTAGAGCAATTACTGTGGATTTTCTGGTTTTAAAGCGGGGGTGAATTTAATTTGCTAACTTGTAATACTGCGTGCTGCTTTACAAGAAGTGGCTGAGGTGTTCTGTTTACACAGAAATGCTGTGTTAGACTGAATGAGAGGCTTGTGCTTTTGTACAAGGTTTTAAAGCTACCTTTTTAAAACACCTCTTGAATGGCATGGCTGGTCATTACCAAAAAAAAAAAAAAAGCATACCAAGTAACTAAAATTATACTTCTTTCAAAGGGCAACATATGCTAAATCAACATGATGGATTGATAACATTTTCCAATATCCTTTTAAATTAGCACCACCAGAGGACACGGCTCAATGGGTGGTGCTGCTGCTGACTCAGTAGCAGTGGTACCCTCACTCCCACTCTATACTAAGTCAACACAGAAGCACACTAGAAGTCTTATATTTGTATTAATAGTATCCTTCCTGTGGGAAGTAAACCTGTGGGCTCTTTCACTGTAGTCATTCATGTTTCCATTTGGTCAGGACAAATATTGGCAGGACATCAGTGCGCTGGCCAGATCTCAGCTATATAAATGCATTTTGTTTTCCTCCAGTTTCAGCGTCACTTAGCACAAGTCGTTGTGACTTTCCTACACAGTGTGTTGCTCTGTTCATCAGCACCTGGGTTCAGGAGTAGGTGAAATGCTTGATGTCTAAACAGAAATTTATAAAGTGCTCTATAATGGCTCTTGAGAGTCTTTAGAGAAAGACTTTCTGTCACAGAGAAATTGTAGCTTCTGCTTTCACACAGTATTTTAGGATACAACTTTCCATGGCTGGTTTTCGTGTTCATTGGTAGCTTATTTTAGCTATCAACTCTGTATAGCTCTTGGAAACCTGATTTAATTAAGAACTAACATGGTCTATATTTCAGGTAGATCAAAAGAAAAAGTGATGTTCGAAAGAAAGCTGTTCAGTTTCCCTGACATCTTCAAATATTTTTTCACTAGTACAAGCACTGTTTATTTACTTGGGAGGAAAGAATTTCTGGTTCAGGCAGCAGAGCACTCTATTCAAGTTTTTGGCTCAGCCAGAGCAGGCCAGTAGATTTTAGACATGAGAGGATTTTAAATGTCCCCAAACCTTTAAAAGGACTTCAGGAGATATAAGAATCATGGGGAGGAGAGGGGTTTTGATTTTGAAATCTGAGCATTTTTAAATTCCTTTGGAGGTCTGATGTAATTTTTTTTAAATCTCTGTGTGATTTAAAGTTAAAAACTGTAAAGAGGACAGGGCATAGAATCTGAGAAAATAGTAAGGGTGCTGAGTGACTAGATACATGAACTCTTCTGTGCTAAGAAGGACTGTCTTCTCAGTGATGCCTCTGTCATAATGTAAAAAAAAAAAAAATAATTTGTATGGATCGCCTAGACTGGTTATAACAGATTTTGGTTTGTGCTATAACAGATTTTTATGTAGGATAAGTTTGTATCATCCTGAAATCTCAAATAGTTTTTAAGTTTAAGAGGCATTAGTTCTTTGGGTATCTTTTTTTCCTATAAACTGTTGGCTGAGAATACACGTGTCTTTATGTTGAAACAGAGTAGATAGCTATCTGTTATGTACGTCCTACAAGTAAGTTTGCAAGCCTTCCCTTGCCAAGCAATCCTTGCTGACATACTCTTAACAGTATTTAAAACCTTATGAGTTGCCAGAGGGTGTGGTGAGGTTCCTGTATAAATATTACCGAGGCAGTTTGCTCCACACCTGCAGAAAGCAAAGGTGTGGTGAAATTTGACAATACTGGCACAATTCATCATTCTTTGGTATTACATCTACGTGCTTTGGCTTAGACACACTGTAATCAATAAAGATAGTGTTTTTCCTGAGAAATTCAGCTCTGTTAAGAAGCGCAACACTTCTGAGAAAGGACCGATCTCTGTATCTGAAAAGAGATATTTTATCTGTTAATGAATATGCAAACTGTTTTCACATATGCAAGGGTGCAGTTTTCCTTTGAATGACTCAGGCAGTGAGCATTTTTGAAGTATCCCAGATAGTAGTTAACAACAAAAATATGAAGAGTGGCCTGAATTTCTCGATCATGACACACAGTACTGCATTATGAGTAATGACGTATGTGTGGGTTGTATGCACTTTAGCTGAAACTTGTCATTTTTCTGAAAAAATCTCTCAAGGGGCGTAACTGTATGTCAGCTGCATGAATACTGAATCAGAAAGCTGATCCCTGCTTTGTGTTAATGGGTGTTTCCCAGCCTGCAGTGCTATAGTGCAAGATCTGCCATGTTGTGGGATGAAGAATGTCAATATCAAGTCGATGTATCTTCAAAACACGTTTCTAAACAAAAGTGCATCCTAAACAGGAGCCTTGTGCTGATGTGCAAGAGTAGGGTATAGAGGAAGGGCTCTCTTTTAAGAAACCCATTTAAACATTTGCTATTTTTTCATACAGCTTGACTGCAAATATTCTTGCCTAGTGGAATGACCAGGGGTTTCACAAGACAGTTTGTATTTTCAGAAGTTTCATCAGGAGAATTTCCCTGATACTTGTGGAAGTGTACTGGAAATCTTAGCTCTTCACTGATCTGCTTGGCACCTGATGGCCCTTCAGAGTTTCACACTTAACTGGTTAAGTGCACATACAAAGGCAGTAAGCCTTTGTGCTGGAAGAGAGTAACCCCCAAAAGGGCACTTGGAATGGAATTTTCCCCTCAGACTGGCAAGGACCTTGAGTGAGCTGGAGTGTCATTAGCATCATTTGAACATGTCTCACCAATGCCTTTGCCATTGCAAGATTCTTCTGTCTTTCCATCTCTCAGGTTCTCTGCCTGTTGCACAAAAGAGCACAGTCTCTTGAGACCTGACATCCTTTTATGTGGTTCAAGTTAGCAAGCTTTTCATAACAATGACCAAGTAGAAATTAATG